ATTAGTTCCACTCTAGGGCTAGGGCAGAGATAGATACGCTTTGGTATGATACGCTTGAAGTGGAAAATAACATGCTTTACCAGCTAGTATTTTGGTAAATTTCATGTGAGTAATGGGTAGTAGTATGAACCTTATTTCAGGCTGAGTTAGTGTGAATACAAACTGTAGCGTGATCTCACTGTAGAATATTACAGTATTTAACACTAAGTTATTAATTAGACTGTACAATGTGACTTCGTAGAGGTCGTTGAATTGGCTGGACATTATTCAGCTTTTCTTGAAGGACGATAGAAATTTCTTAATTAAAGCGATTTGTTCTCACAAGTGAATACAAAATCATTCTTGCAACAAATTGTAAATCCTTGGGACAACCAGAAAACTTTAATTGTTTCCTAGCCATGTTTCTCGAAGGTAGGCAAACCAGGAAACATTCTTTCCTAGCCATGTTTCCTAAAGGTGGGCAAACCAGGAAACATTCTTTCCTAGCCATGTTTCCTGAAGGTGGGCAAACCAGGAAACATTGTTTCCTAGCCATGTTTCCTAAAGGTGGGCAACCCAGGAAACATTGTTTCCTAGCCATGTTTCCTGAAGGTGGACAAACCAGGAAACATTGTTTCCTAGCCATGTTTCCTAAAGGTGGGCAAACCAAGAAACATTGTTTCCTATCCATGTTTCCTAAAGGTGGGCAAACCAAGAAACATTGTTTCCTAGCCATGTTTCCTAAAGGTGGGCAAACCAAGAAACATTGTTTCCTAGCCATGTTTCCTAAAGGTGGGCAAACCAAGAAACATTGTTTCCTAGCCATGTTTCCTAAAGGTGGGCAAACCAGGAAACATTGTTTCCTAAAGGTGGGCAACCCAGGAAACATTGTTTCCTAGCCATGTTTCCTGAAGGTGGACAAACCAGGAAACATTGTTTCCTAGCCATGTTTCCTAAAGGTGGGCAAACCAGGAAACATTGTTTCCTAGCCAATAGCCTTGTTTCCTGAAGGTGGGGCAAACCACGAAACATTCTTTCCTAGCCATGTTTCCCGAAGGTGGGCAAACCAGGAAACATTGTTTCCTAGCCATGTTTCCCAAAGGGGGGCAAACCAGAAACATTCCCGAATGTTTCCCGAAGGTGGACAAACCAGGAAACATTGTTTCCTAGCCATGTTTCCAAAGGTGGGTAAACCAGGAAACATTGTTTCCTAGCCATGTTTCCAAAGGTGGGTAAACCAAGAAACATTGTTTCCTAGCCATGTTTCCAAAGGTGGGTAAACCAAGGAGAAATTGTTCGTAATTAGGAAACAAAACGTGTTTCTGAATTTGTCGAGAAACCTTTCTTCCCGCGAAGCAAATTTTCGCGACAATATTTCAAAGGGTTTCTGGGGATTCGGCCATGACAAGAAAAGCTGCATAGTGTAACCAACTAAATGTATTTAATGTAATGAATTGTAGAAATTCTGATTACATCTCAATTTAGTACTTTATATCTAGTTGTCTTTGTAAAGTGACCACAAGCTTATCCGGCCGTCCTTAGAACCAGCAGCCAGAAGTTGTTCTTGGCAGTTTGAGAAAGCGACGGCATCCACAGATTGTGTGTGGTAGTTGAGGATTGCCAGAGGTTTTAAACTTTTCCAACTGAATATCCTCAGTCTAAAATTTAAAGAAAGGAAAGTTGTGCTTTTCTTGGTGCCCTCTCGCCCACTAAAGTAAACATTGGATAGCTCATCAGTTCTAAATTATCCAGTGATCGACAACCCTCATTGCCACTGACGCGCGGTGTTACCATTGGAGGAAACGGGAGTTCACACGTAAAAACACGCTAGTTGTTATAGATCTGGAAACAAGTTGTAACAAGGTTGTTGTCAAGTCCATATCAGGATGTGTTCGCACTGCTTGTTCCCAGTTGTTGTGACAAATCTGGAATAAGTTGATATCATCTTGTTACAATGTTGATGACGGTAACAGACTTGTTACAAGTTGTTCCAACAAGACTAATCCAGGCCGTTCGATAACAAGTTGCTACGAGATTTTTGTTAACAACTTGTTATGTTGCTTGTGTGATGTTACTCTGAGTGTATATCCACACCGGGCAGGCTTGAAAAATATGCCTGGCCTAGGTGGGAATCGAACCTACGACCTTTGGAATACAAGCCCAATGCTCTGCCAACTGAGCTACGCGGTCAGGTCGGTTCGAGTATGCGATATTTCGGAACTGAGTCTAGTTCCTTCGATATCAGTGTAATTGTAAGTGTAGTATGCGATACTTCGGAACTGAGTCTAGTTAAGCCTGCCCGGTGTGGATATACACTCAGAGTAACATCACACAAGCATCTTATTCACCTGAGTACACCAACACAGCAAATATCACAACTTGTTATGTGCAGACGATATCAGACTTGTCGCGAGTCTGTTGGCCTCATGAACCTTGTTACAAGATGATAACAACTTGTTCGAAACTTGTCAACAACTGGAACACATCTTGTTTTGTTGACAAGCTGTGAGATTTTCGCGCGTGTACCTACACGCGTAAAAACGCACAAGTTGTTACAGGTCTGCAAACAAGTTGTTACAAATCTGTTCACAAGCTGTCGACAAGTTGTGTTCGCACTGCTTGTTCCAAGTTGTTGTAACAAGTTGTTAACAACTTGTAACAAGCTTGATGGCATTATCAGACTTGTGGCATCATCAGACAAAGTTCTAACAAGTCTGATACAGTCATGATATAACACGAATGTTACAAGGTTGACAACACAAATATTGTTATATCATGACCGTATCGGACTTGTTGGAACAAACTTGCAACAAGTCTGATAATATCAACAAGGTTGTTACAAGTTGTTAACAGCTTGTTCCAAACTTGTTGACAACTTGGGACAAACAGTGCGAACTCAACTTGTTGACGGCTTGTTGGCAGACTTGTTACAAGGGGCGCTTTCCTTTAACACGGCCAAACCGGTCAGAACGGTCAAATTGTTCAATCAACACAAAACATTTGGGCTTCGGACCTAACTGACTGGAAAATTTTGATAACATTAGAATGAGGTCGATTTTCGCTAGATATTTGAGAAACATAGACCAGATCTTTCCATTGATACAGAGAAAAGAATTCGGGTCTGACCAGTCAGGCCATTAAATGGAAAGCGCCCAAGATGTGAGATTTTTACGCGTTTACTTACCTGCGGTGTTTGGTAGAGTCAAACTGGGAGAAACGATGATTTACGTATTACTCACTTGTGATCCCAACCAGCAGTGGCAAAAATTTTGCAATCTCCACGTATTTTCACTTCAGAAATACCGCAGTTCTTTATTTGTACAGTTTTCTCCACCTCTAATCTTCTCTCTGCAGTGAGTTTGAATACGGTAACTTTCTCCTCAGCAGAGCCAGATATCCCGCGATTTGATTTGGGATCGATGTCGACACACATTACTGGAAAACATATATAGCAGTATTTTACCTAACCAACGAGTAATCTACAAACGAGTACACACGTAAAAACGCACAAGTTGTTACAGGTCTGCAAACAAGTTGTTACAAATCTGTTCACAAGCTGTCGACAAGTTGTGTTCGCACTGCTTGTTCCCAGTTGTTGTAACAAGCCAATGACAACTTGTAACAAGCTTGATGGCATTATCAGACTTGTTACAAGGTCGTTCTAACAAGTCTATTACAACCTTGTAGAATAAGCTGTTAACAACTTGTGACAAGCTTGATGGCACTATCAGACTTGTTACAAGGTTGTTCTAACAAGTCTGATACAGTCATGATATAACAAGAATGTTACAAGGTTGACGACACAAGGTTGTAACAGTATTGTTATATCATGACTGCATCAGAATTGTTGGAACAACCTTGCAACAAGTCTGATAATATCAACTAGGTTGTTACAAGTTGTTAACAGCTTGTTCCATACTTGTTGACAACTTGGGATAAGCAGTGTGAAAAGAACTTGTTGACGACTTGTTGGCAGATTTGCTACAAGATGTTACAAGTTGTCAACAAGTTGTAACAGTGCTATTATTTTATCAAGTTGCTACAAGGTTGTCACTCACAACTTGTTGACAACTTGTTGAATTGCAGGACGATAACAAGTTGTTGGAACAACTTGTAACAAGTCTGTTGAGCTCAAAAACCTTGTAGCAAGTTGTCAACAAGTTGTAACAATGCTGTTATTTCACCAACTTGTAACAAGTCTGTTGAGCTCAAAAACCTTGTAGCAAGTTGTCAACAAGTTGTAACAATGCTGTTATTTCACCAACTTGTAACAAGTCTGTTGAGCTCAAAAACCTTGTAGCAAGTTGTCAACAAGTTGTAACAATGCTGTTATTTCACCAACTTGTAACAAGTCCGTTGAGCTCAAAAACCTTGTAGCAAGTTGTCAACAAGTTGTAACAATGCTGTTATTTCACCAACTTGTAACAAGTCTGTTGAGCTCAAAAACCTTGTAGCAAGTTGTCAACAAGTTGTAACAATGCTGTTATTTCACCAACTTGTAACAAGTCTGTTGAGCTCAAAAACCTTGTAGCAAGTTGTCAACAAGTTGTAACAATGCTGTTATTTCATCAACTTGTAACAAGTCTGTTGAGCTCAAAAACCTTGTAGCAAGTTGTCAACAAGTTGTAACAATGCTGTTATTTCATAAACTTGTAACAAGTCTGTTGAGCTCAAATACCTTGTAGCAAGTTGTCAACAAGTTATAACAATGCTGTTATTTCATCAACTTGTAACAAGTCTGTTGAGTTGAGCTCAACAATCTTGTAACAAGTTGTAACAAGTTGTAACAATGCTGTTATTTTATCAAGTTGCTACAAGGTTGCCACTCGCAACTTGTTGAATTGCAGGACGATAACAAATTGTTGGAACAACTTGTAACAAGTTTGTTGAGCTCAACAATAGTTTAGACCTGTAAACCACATATAAAATGTTGTATTTCGGCTGATGAGAAAGATCGTGACTCAATCTTTACGACCACCAGGTTTTTATCAACAAGCAGTGCGAACACATCCTGTTGGAACAGTATTGCTAGGAGTCTGCTCCAGGTTTGGTACAACTTGTACGTTTTTACGTGTGTACACATGTAAAAATCTCACAACTTGTCAACAAGATGTATTCGCAACAGGCTTGTAGCATTAGTTGTCAACAAGTTGCAACAACGTTGTTTTATCAAGGTTGTCACTCACAACTTCTTGACAAACTGTTGAATTGCGATAACAAGTTGTTGAAACAACTTGCTACAAAATTGTTGAGCTCAACAGACCGATGACAACTTGTCAACAAGCATTGCGAACACATCCTGTTGACAAGTTGTTGGAACCGCATTGCTACAAGTCTGCTGCAGGTTTGTCATAACTTGTGCGTTCTTATACGTGTGTAGTTCGGTGAACTAACTGCGTGGTTGGTTTATACGTTAAAACGCACAAGTTGTAACAAACCTGCAGCAGACTTGTAGCAATGCTGTTCCAACAACTTGTCAACAGGATGTGTTCGCACTGCTTGTTCTCAGCTTGTTCACAAGTTGTCAACGGCTTGTTGGCAACTTGCTACAAGGTTGTTGAGTTCAACAGACTTGTTACAAGTTGTTCCAACAACTTGTTATCGTCCTGCAATTCAACAATTTGTCAACAAGTTGTGAGTGACAATACCTTTTATAAAATAACATGTATATAACGCATGCTCTGATTGGTCGAAACTCGCCTTCGTCTCGTGTTTCGCACGCTTTTCTTAACTCTCGCAACATTCCCGCGTGTTTGGATCAGGCCATCCAAACACGGAAACCATAAAGTAATTGTATAAGTAGCAACTTGATAAAATAATAGCATTGTTACAACTTATTGACAAACTTGCTACAAGCCTGTTGCGAACACATCTTGTTGACAAGTTGTGAGATTTTTACGTGTCAACTTGCGTGGGTAATTCGATCGTCTCAATCGGAGCAATTTACGTCTATGTGGAATTGTGCATAATAAATATCGGACATGGCCTCAGAACCATTGTGAGCATACTTGATCACGCTATTCTGTCTAGCTATAGTTCGTCCTGGACAGTTTCTCTTGAGGTTCTAAGATCGACGAAGCGGCCCGACGGAATTACAAAGTTTCAGTATACCTGGTTCTTTATGTACACACAATTTCGAAACCATATTTGAAGATTGTAAATCCCACAAGATAATATCTCCGCTTTCGTAACCAGCCACAAGATATTTTTTCTCTGTTTCGATGCTTTTCAGACACATACACATACCTATGTAGCCAAAAATGTTTTGCAAGATTAATTTTCTCATGGAGAGAGCATGCACCATAAATTCAATAATCCTAGGGCTAGGTTCAGCCGTACAGATTTTACTGTAAAGCACTATCGGCAGCAGATGGTGGTCAACCTACAATCACCTGATGTTGTTATTTTATAAAACAATTACTTTATGCATGGTTTCCGTGTTTGGATGGCTTGATCCAAACACTTGGGAATATTGCTCGAGTTAGGATATAACGCATGCTCTGATTGGTCGAAACTCGCCTTCGTCTCGTGTTTCGCACGCTTTTCTTAACTCTCGCAACATTCCCGCGTGTTTGGATCAGGCCATCCAAACACGGAAACCATAAAGTAATTGTATAAGTAGCAACTTGATAAAATAATAGCATTGTTACAACTTATTGACAAACTTGCTACAAGCCTGTTGCGAACACATCTTGTTGACAAGTTGTGAGATTTTTACGTGTCAACTTGCGTGGGTAATTCGATCGTCTCAATCGGAGCAATTTACGTCTATGTGGAATTGTGCATAATAAATATCGGACATGGCCTCAGAACCATTGTGAGCATACTTGATCACGCTATTCTGTCTAGCTATAGTTCGTCCTGGACAGTTTCTCTTGAGGTTCTAAGATCGACGAAGCGGCCCGACGGAATTACAAAGTTTCAGTATACCTGGTTCTTTATGTACACACAATTTCGAAACCATATTTGAAGATTGTAAATCCCACAAGATAATATCTCCGCTTTCGTAACCAGCCACAAGATATTTTTTCTCTGTTTCGATGCTTTTCAGACACATACACATACCTATGTAGCCAAAAATGTTTTGCAAGATTAATTTTCTCATGGAGAGAGCATGCACCATAAATTCAATAATCCTAGGGCTAGGTTCAGCCGTACAGATTTTACTGTAAAGCACTATCGGCAGCAGATGGTGGTCAACCTACAATCACCAGAGAGTCACCAAAATTATTGTCATTTTATGTAGTAGTCTTGTATTTAATTATTGGTGGCAAATAATATAATTATAGTTCAATTTTCTTGCTCTTAAAAGTGTGACCAGTTCGAAAGTTGAACATCTGCTGTCAAATCTTATGAATCAAACCAGTACTCTCATGAATAACCCACCAAATGATTTTGAGGATTCTGGTGTCAATTTCCTGATAATTTTCTTGGTTTTCAAACACATGATATCAATCTATCAAAGAGAGATTTGGTATAGATAATCAGACTACTGCATATTGAAGGTAAAGGCTTTTAGGTGAAAAACAAAACTACTGTGTCACCATCTTACTTGTGACTGGTCTTCACTGGAAACAGCAAGACAGTTGTCACCACTGCTTTGAAAATCATCTGGAATCACAAAATAATGTTTTCTGATTATTTTGCTTGCAGACCTTGTTAATTTGTAAAACTTTGAATTTCATTTAATGTCTTTAATCTGGATTTTGGAACTTACAGATAATTTCACATTTACAGAAACCTATATCAGACACTTTCAGAGTGTCTTGGATTTCATTTCTATTCAGATTCCAGATATGGACATTACCATCACGACCATGACTAAATGAGAATGATGGAGGGTCACATTGATCGGATCCGACCTGATCTAGGAAGTGGTCAAGTGGATTTTTTCCTGATTGTAGGTGGAAGGGGGGGGGGGTTGAAAGGTGGAAAATTTCCAGGGGGGATTTTGAGGAAGGGGGTGGTTGGAATGTTTTTTGGAGGTGGAAAAACTTTAGGGGGAGAACATTTTCAGATGGGGGGGTGGTGGTGAAGAATGTAAAAATGGAAATTCCCCAAGGAGGAGTTGAGAATTTTCACAAGTGAAAACTTTGGAGGGGGGCATGAGAGGGTGGAGAAAATTTGCAGTGTGGGTAGGAGATTTCCAGGGGGGAGGAATGCTTCAGGTACCTTAAATATTTTCTGATCTATACATTGAGCCGTGCATTGGTGACTGTAGGGTGTATTCATTCTTTATTTCCATCAAATCTACCTAGATGATGATCATAGACTGTGTTCATACCTCAAGAGTGTGTCATCCTTCAAATATTGTATGGTCAATATAGCTTTGTTGTCGTGACCATCCAGTGTAAATTCTGTCCGCTTTGTTGACAAGTTCCAAATGCTCACAATCCCTTTTTGGTCACTGATGATAGAATGTCGTAAAAATAACATGTATTAGACTTGATCAGCCAAATTTCCCATCCAATTCACATTTTCAGTTCTCACATGCTCAGTGATACCACTGTTCAGATAGTGTATAGGAACAAAGGTAACCAAGCATTTAAATTATATATGTGAGTGAATTCACTGACTTGGTTTATAGAAAGAGGCATACACATGCATTAGGGTGATTAGGTCGAAGGCTTGCTGGTCACTTGCGACGTAATCACCAAACTAAAGTACCATTACCATACCCTGAGAGCAACCGCTGTTCATTTCCACCAAACGTACAAAATTCGACAGCCGTAACTGGCGATCCTACTCCACGTAATATATAAACTGGATCTGGAGGTGGTCTACTCATCAGAAACGATCATAGCATATAGCCTCATTTATTAGTAATATATAAAATCTAACACTACTATTCCTGACACAGCCACCTTAATAGTAAAATCAGTTTTTATCCAAATTCCCAAACCATGCAGCAAAAAATGCCAAAACAGACCAAACCGAGTACAAAATGTTTTTACAAGTATTTTATAAAATATGATAGCAGTATAAGCAGTATTAGTTAAAATTGAACAGTTACAAGTATTAATTTCGCGATTATTGGTCGCCAACATCACTGTGCTAACATGAAGTATATGTGAAACGCCATGACGCCATTATGCGCCATTATGAAAGTAACAAAAAGAAATTCAAATTTTGGATTCAAAAACTGTTTTTAAAATGAAACGAAAGCTGGAATCAGACGATGAATTAGACACAGAAGTTAACTGTGGTAATGCGGACGAATTTCGAGACCAACTTTTAGAACAAAATGAGTTCGTTCGCGTTATCAAATGTAAGTAAATTATCATTGGCGGTTGATTGTTGCAAATTTCAGTATATTTATAATTCACTATATATTGTAAAACACCTTTATTTATACTGAATAGCTCTATCAGTTCTACACTGTTCTTCTTAGAGGTCCAGTAAAGATCATCTCTTATTGATCCAGTGTATTAACAGTGTTATAAATACTACAGGAGGAAACCTAAAGTAAACTAACTAGCCTGTATACTCCAGTATGGAATGAAGGTGATGTGCACAAATCGGTGCACAAATTGGTGCACAACTTACCCAATAATCCCCACAATTTCCTTCTGTTATTGGTGTACAAAAAAAAATTGGATTTTCACAACGTACATTATCTATATATTTTTTTTATTATTTACTAGTACTATGGTGTGTAACAACTAAATAATTGGTAAATTCAGAAATTCTGACCTTCGCTGCTACACTTGCTACCCCCCCCCCCCCCAAGAATCTTAATTAATTTATAACGTGCACAGGTCATGAGCCCGCTGGGTATGTGCACAACATGTGGTGCACAACCAAAGTTGCGTTTAAATTGTGCGGTGCACAGAAATGTTACATTCCATACTGGTGTATACTGGATAGTTCTATCAGTTCTAAACTGTAAAGCACCCAAGCCTAGTGTAACCTTTGCAGTGCTGTCAGCACGTTCCTAGCCAGTTACGAGAGACATTCACCCCCCTGAAAATATTTAAAATGGACTCTCTTACAAGAGACATTCACCACCACTCCCCCCCCGAAAATATTTAAAATGGTGGACATTCAGGGGGTGAATGCCTCAAATCAATAAATGGACTGCATATAATCGTGGGGGTCATATTGTTGTTAGGTTTCCAAACAACAAGACAGCATTTGATCTTTTCATCAGAATTCTGGTTGAACCATTCTGACCAGGCACACCCTTGGTTAGAATGATCACATACACTAACCTTTGTTTCTTTTATCAGTGAGTGGAAAGCAGCCAAATCTAGCTCTGCCACAGGACTGGGTAGGAATGTACCACAAAAGTGGCGGAATAATTTATCTCAATCGAAAGACCCGAGTGTGTAGTTGGGCGCGGCCGTACCATATTGGGCAAGCGAGTGTCAGGGTAATATAGACTTTTGTATTGCCTGGATCTGTTTTACTGGTAGTTGAAATATTTTGTTCATTTTGGTAAGGCTGTTTATTGGCCAGACCAATGTTAAACAAATGTCTCTGCTGCCTAACTGAACTTTTGAAAACTGAAACTAATCCATCAAATTTGATTGGTTCGGTGAAAATTGTGTATCAATGTTAATTATGCATCATGTTAATGGTTCCTGCATATATAGTTCTATGGCACGTTAGACAGAAACAGAAACTGCCTCGTGCCTAGGCACTTTAGTTTGCTCTGCCATTGTGCTTGTGGTACATGCATAGATTGTAGTGCTAGCAACAATGATGTAGGTGTCTCCTCAGTAGCTTAGGTAAAAGTTCAGACTAGCAATTTTGTAGAGATTATAGAAACTTTTGATTGAAAGGAAAATGTTGGAGCACAGTATTAGTTTCAGTTTTCAGTAAGAGCTGTAAAGACAGGCAGAAGATTTGATAATAGATTAACCCATTAAGTTGCATTGTGCCCTGCCAGATTATTTTACCCTAATACTAGACAATTTCATTCATCCAAGGGAGAGTCTTGCACATTGATGGGTTAATCAAACTGACTGCACCCTACTTTTATTATTACTTTACTCTGTCCAAAGCCAGACTTGTCCAGGGAGAGTTTTGTGCATTATTGGGTTAACTCATTAAGTTGTTTTGCACCCTAATGCACCTTACTTTATTATTTTGCTTGTCATGGGAAGAGCACTGGTGCTTAATGGGTTTATAGTGCCCAAATCAATAGAAATGTAAAAGTGCCTGATATATGCATAAGCAAAGTACTATAGGCTACCTATGTGAGGAAACATTATATTGGTCCTAATCACTTAATTTACAAAACTAACAGTTTACAAACAGAGCTAATATTTCAACTATTATTCAACTAACTCTCTACTACTAAAACTGAATACAGAAACATGATGTGCCGACTGCGGCAATACCGTGTCTGCATCAGATCATGGCTTTGAACAACGACAAGAAGCAAAGTCACCAGAAGAAGCGAAAATCATCGGATATCCATGATGGCATCATCGGTCACCATACTGGTAATCTTGACAACCAATCTGGTGACCATGACGACCATAGTGGTAACCATGGCAACCAAACTAATTGTGATGACAACCCAATAACGAGTTCTGATGAGCAAAACTCAGATGTGGGTTACCATGACAACAGTGATGGTAGCACTGATGGTAACTATGGAAACAAAAATATTAACTGTCGCAATGTTGATGGTTGTCATGGAAACAGTGATGGTAGCCAGAGTGATGAAAATGGTAATCTTGGTGGTGGCACAGATGGCAACCTTAGAAACATGGATGGTAGCCAGAGTGCCCCAGATGGTAACCATAATGGTACCAACAGCGAAACAGATGATAGTAACCCTGGTATAACTAACAATAACATAGATAGTACCATTGATATAACATCAAAAAAAGCACTTGTCAGTACTAACAAAAGTATGGATGCTGGTAACAGTGAAGTCATTACCAGCAATAAAACTATTAGCTCTGTCAAACCAGTGCAAACCTGTGACAACACCATTAATATGGTGGCGACTCATCAAAATAATGACATCACTGCTCTAAATAAAACCATTAGCTCAAGCAAAGCGCTGGAGAACAGCGATTCGGGAAATGTTTCAGAGAACGCAGAAAGCTCGCCGCTTCAGATGTGTAGTGTTGAAGATGTCACCGAGTACCTCGGGAAACTCTGGGAGTTTCACGACATCACCAAAGAACAGGAACGCAAACTTCTGCTGACAGACACGAACGAAATGCCGCGGGATGCGACGCAAGAGTATAAGTCGACCCAAATTCTAAGAACCATACCATACCTTGTGCATGGGGTGAATCACAAGTCTAAAAACAACGAAAGAGTTGTTATCAATCCTGCAGGCAAGAGCGCTCGGTCGTTGCTCCACGAGTATTGTATCAAGTTGCATAACGTTAAACCAGAATATACCACTGAGGAGAGCGGAGTGCCCAAAACACCGTTTTTAGCAATTGTACAAGTCGATGGCTTGAAGTATGGAACTGGCATGGCAACCAGTAAGAAACAGGCAAAACACTGTGCTGCTCAGAAGACGCTGGAAATTCTCATGCCCAAGAAGTCATTTAAGAAGCTCATGGATGTCGACGCAAATGTCAAGGTATAAATGCTTTAGACATTTTCTTACACGACTAATGCCGTATAGGTTTGGTTATGTCCATCGACCTCAAAACTGATGAAAAATGTAATCCTGGGGCCGGTTGTATCAAGCCCGTTTAGCTTAAACGGTGGATAAGTCAAAATTAAATAACACTCTTATATCTGTCATCTGATGCTTGTGATGTTACTCTGAGACTGAGTGTATTACTGTATATACCCATATTGCACTGACGCCACAAATCCTTAGAGTGTCCTCCAGATGCTGCCTAACAATATCTGTTCGGGTACAACAACCACATACAGCGCAAAAATTAACCATTTTCATACAAAATTATTATAAAGTTTTACAAAATTTGCTTTATTTAGAAAAGTTATATTATGCATAGATTGCTAATTTGTCCTCCAGATGCATCATCACCGGCGCTGTAACGTCATATGCAATGGATCTATATCCACACCGGGCAAGCTTGAAAAATATGCCTGGCCACGGTGGGAATCGAACCTACGACCTTTGGATATAATACTAGCCCTGGATATACACTCAGAGTAATATCACAAGCATCATATTCACCTGACTACATTGCACCAACACAGAAAAGATCACTCTCTCGTGAATCAGTCAAATTAACATTGTGCACTGAATTGTTAGATGTAAACATTATCGTTCTATTAAGGTTCAAAACTTTTAGTTTGGTTGTTGAATGAATCTATAGACTTGCGTTCTATTTTGAGGCTTGAGCTTAACCACCGTTTTAGCTAAACGGATTTGATACAACCGACCCCTGAACTACAGTGAAGGTCAAATAATGACTGAGTGACTGGGAATACTCGTAAGATTTGCCCTCTATATATAAATACGGAGTTTTCTACATTTCCTTCAGCTTTTTGACGATATTCCAATAGAAGATTCAAATGTCTACGAACTAACTTCCAAGTTAGGATTACTCAGTCCACATCAAGTCCTCAACGAATGCATCAAAAGGTAACGAGTGATTTTACTTTGAGCTTTCTAACTACTTTGCTACCATGCAACTATTTATTCCCATACTTAATTTTATGGGTGTCGTAATAGTGGGTCTGGCAGGCCACTGATGCCCCCCCCCCCCTCCACGGAAAATATTAAGGATAACTCTCTTTAGATTGACTAACATGCAGTACAACCATGCATGCTGCCCACTAAAAGCAATCCATGACGAGAATTTTCTAACCGAATGAGGGATTTTCCCACCGTGGCCGGGCATATTTTTCAAGCTCGCCCGGTGTGGATATGCACTCAGAGTAACATCGCAAACATATTATTCACCTGAGTACACAACACCAACACAGAAAAATTCAAAATAGAAAATAGTTTACAAGTGAATTATACAGTGAATTTGATCGCACACAATTCTTTGAAAAACACTGCAAGATTTCACACAATAAGGCCAAAATTGTGGGAAATCAATACGGATTTATCGCAACAAATGTTGTCACTGCACATTTTTACTTTATCACCATACTTCAAATTAGTTATGACACTAAAATTTTTCCCCTTTTTTTCAGAAACCAGGGCGTATTAACATCTGAAGTGAAGTTCGAGTTGAGTCATGGGGCAGATAAGCAGTTGTATTACACCATGGAATGTGGAAAACACAAGGCTACAGTAAGTTATTTGATGGGGGGGGGGGTCAGTTACTCAGCTTCAAGGTTGTTGAGCAATAATGCCATTCCTCGAGTAAAGAGCATGGACGGATTTACTGGGTACAGGGTTAGGGGGAGGTTAAACTCCCTAGAATCTCTCTAACCCCTCTAATAAAGTTTTCAACTCCACCAAAATTTCTCTTTACCCCTCCTATTTTGTGTGAAAGTATTTAACCCAAGCGCTTAACCCCTGCCAAAGCTCACTGAGTGGTGCCGCTTGCACCCCACCAGAAATGTTTCTACCCCTCCTTTTAAATAAATGAAACTCCGCCCTTGCAGGGCACGAAATAATGGCCGATCAATGATCGGCAGGAAATTGCTTTTAGAGGAAAATTGCAGAGAAGCAGGGTTGCCGATCATCTTGATCGACAAGAACCATTGTCTCAAAAACACGGTTAATGTCATTAACGAACACCATGCAATACTACGCCATTATCACATGCAGCACATATAAACAGAACGTATCCTATAATGATCGAACAGATTTTCATTTGATCAGCAGAAAATCATGACTGCTGATCACCATGATCGGGAACCTTGGAAACGTTATTTCGAGCCCTGTCCTTGGTAAAGAGGCATATTGTTACAGTACTTCACTCTTCGGATCACCCTGATGAAGACTCTAGGCTGTTGAAATGTTCGGTCGTGATGACCTGGTTGCTAACGTATGTTTTGTCTCCTATAAAAGGGACCGTGCCGTAACAAGAAATTGGGTCGTGAACTCGCAGCACAAACAGTGTTACAGGTAGATATCTTTAATATGCATCACCCTCGCTTGAATGCCAAGACTTGTTTGTGAGCTACCTTTAAGTCAGGAATGAATTTACTGGGGGGTGCGTACCCCCAGCTCTGGCCAGAGGGGGTGCTATTTTTCATGATAAACAAAAAAATATTGGAGAAAAATGTAGAAAGAAAGGTGCAGGAATTTGAGTAATAACATGATGATAAGTGAACTGTGAATAACAATTACAATTCAAATACAGTAGTCAAGCAAGACTTTTCAGTAGTCAAGCAAGTTGATGACCGACACAACTCGCCACCAGAGCTGTTTTGTGGCCGCTCCCCATGGCGATTTGGTAAAATTGACAATCCTTCATAAGACTGAAAATGTCGCTTCTCTGTTCATGTAGAAACTGCATCCGCACTTGAAATCTTGGGGTTCGATTTTGCGTATATACGTCGACGATCACACGGCACAGGTATACTAAATTCGTTTGTTCCGGCGACAGCTAGCTCAAAACTATTCCATTTTGACAGTGCAGTGTGGTAAACTACACACATAAAAACGCGCAAGATTTTACAAGTTTGCAGCCAATTCGTTGTTACAAATCTGTTCACAAGCTGTCAACAAGTTGTCTTCGCATTGTTTGTTCCCAGTTGTTGTAACAAGTTTGGAACAAGCTGTTAACAACTTGTAACAAGCTTGATGGCATTATCAGACTTGTCACAAGGTTGTTCTAACAAGTCTGATACAGTCATGGTAAACAAGAATGTTACAAGGTTGACGACACAAGGTTGTAACAATACTGATATATCATGACCGTATCGGACTTGTTGGAGCAACCTTGTAACAAGCCTGATAATATCAACAAGGTTGTTACAAATTGTTAACAGCTTGTTCCAAACTTGTTGACAACTTGTTGCAAGCAGTGCGAAGACAACTTGTTGACGGTTTGTTGACAAGATGTGAGATTTTTGCGTGTGTATATTAGTGAAATGGACAACTCTATAACAACCATATAGCGCTACGAGTTACCTGACACCCATGCACCAAAATTTGGTTATCGTTTCAGGAGTTCACTAAACCCGACGCCCCCGCACCCGTGACGCCATCAAGTGTGAACAAAGAACTTCTGAGTGATCTAAAACATGAGATGTGGAAATTTATGAAGGTAGAATTTATTTGATGTTGCTATATACGAACTGCTCAATACACTATTCCGGAAAGTATTTAGCCTTGGCTATAGAGCCTTGTGTTAAGCGATAGCGCCCTGGTAATGCCTGCTACATGTGCTGTTGTTTATTGAGCTTCTCACTGTTTGGTGAGCGGATTTTCCAACAGACTGTTGCAGTGGATTTTTTAAGGATTCTTCAGTGGTGGGGCAAACCTGCCAAAGGGCACATTTTCCTTGCCCCCCCCCCCTCCCCCCCAGGATAGTATGCGATCGCCGAAGGTGTGAGCTGAATACCGCAAGTACGAGTTAACTAGGGAGGTCTGGGGGCATGCCCCCACCCCAGGAAACTTTTAAAATTTGGGTTTCTGAGATAGCATTTCCTGCATTCCGAGAACACATTTAAAAAAAACCTCAGCCTCTCAAAACAAAGTTTTAATGGTGAAATTTGTAATAAATTGCATGCTAAACATTCAAACACATCATATATTCAAGTATGCTCACCAAAAAATTTTGTTTTTTAAACTTCTTTTCAATGTTAAACTCATTTACTCAAAACAGGTCCTATAGGGCCCTGGCTTTGGGGCAATAGGCCATTTTTTTCTTCAGTGGTGGGGCAGAGGAAGGGGTCCAGTAGGGCCCCACCAGATCATGGCATTAAAAAATGCCTTGGGCTGTTGCCCAATTGACAGGGGATCGGAGGTACCTTTAACGTCCTTATCCGAGAAGTCGCGAAAACCATTTACTGATGTCAATAGACAACTTTTATGTTAGACTAATTTTTGATCATGGTAAAAAAAGTAAATTCCCGTAAAGAACTTATTAAAATTAGTAAAATTGCAAAATTTGGTTATTTATAAACTTTACAATCAATAAAACGATTGAAGGTACAGACAACAGGACTGAGGAGTCCCAAATCAAGTCCTACCTACACATTACACTGACATTGTAAAACAATAGAGACAGGTTACAACTTTAACAAAGCTACAATACAAAATTACAACACACGATCAATGCGTTCCAACCCATCTTTACAGTTTCCAAAGTTAATATGATATGGTTACGAAATGTTGTAAAATACGGAGAATATAGCCTTGCGAAGTTTGCATATTTTGTATATGTTTGTATTACGTGCGGAAATTGTTACCATTTTTGAGCCGAAAATGGTAACAATTTCCGCACGTAATACAAACATATACAGAATTTGCAAACTTTGCAAGACTATATATTTTTCAAGCTTTACAACAATTCGCAACAAAATTTTGCAGTTTTACTAATTTCATTATGTTCTTTTTAGCTGTGGTGTTTGATTCCCTTCTCTTTACTTTATAGATTAAAATTTAGCAAGGGTGGGTTGACTATAAAATTTTTGTAGTTCGCTATAACTCCAGCTACTTCAAAAATATGTAGGGTTATAGATCAGCTACAACTACTGCTACTTTTGAACAAAGGTAGTTCGCTACTGACTACAGCTACTGCTTAAAAAATGTAGCGAACTATTTCGCTATTTCGCTACACTATATTTTTTAGTTTTACTATATTTGGAGCATCTACTAACTCAGGCTGTAATATAACCTATAACAAATCGACTTACGAGTAGCAACAGTAAACAAAAAGGTCAAAGCAACATTTTTATAAGCACTACAGTGTTCAGGAGTGCCACTTTCCATTGCGCTAAAATAATCTTTACTGTATAGAATAATCTTTTAAGCAAACCGTGTCTTAATATCATTCTATTCTATGAACGGTTGCTAACATATTTTAAAAAGTAGCGAATAGCGATTCGCTGTTTGAAAAGTAGTCAACTACTTGGCTACTTTTAGGCAAACTGTAGTTCGCTATAACTATAGCTACTGTTTTAAAAAAGTAGTCAAAAACTACTGGCTACTTGAAAATTGTAGTTCGCTACAATAGCGAACTACAACTACTTCGCTACTACCTACCCTTGAAATTTAGTCTAACATGCAAGTTGTCCATTGTAAAAGGTAGCATTTTCTCCTCAATTATTTTAAGACCTTGAGTTGAGGTCCGAGCAAGGATTCCCAGCTTGAAAGACAAGCGTGGTGAACAACACGACACCACAAGCGGTTAAAACATGAAGTTCACGCATTATGTGATGCATTTTATTTTTATTTCCAGAAAAAGGCGAAAGCTTCGACAGGTTTTATAACCAATATTGACATATAATTGATTTAATTTGTTATTTTTAATAATGAAATTGTGAATCATTTTTAATCAATTGTTGTGAAGAAATAGTAGGTTTTATAACCAATATTGACATATAAATGATTTAATTTGTTATTTTATAATCATTTTTAATCATTAATTGCTGTGAATAGTAGGTTTTATAACCAATATTGACATATAATGGTTTAATTTGTTATTTTTAATAATGAAATTGTGAATCATTTTTAATCATTAATTGTTGTGAATAGTAGGAATTTGTTAGAATTCAAGTAAATTTTAAATATATCACAAGAAAGAACTTGTAAAAATAAAGTAGGAATCGAATATTTTTAAACTGAAAACTTTAGAATAAATAATTACAGTATTTTATTTGAGTCCAAATGTTTTTAAAATCACCGACACGGTAGCGATTTTCCTTTGATTTTCCTTTTTAAAATTATAATAAACAAGAAAGCAAAAGTTTCAAAAACCCTCGGCCTCATTTTATTCCCTCTGTTTTCAACTGTTCCTCGGCTCTTAACTTTTCGCGCCAAATCACTTTTTGAACGATGGTAAATATTAAATATCGGAAATTTTTATTTAAATCGTCGCGCTAACACATTGTCCAAAATGGCGAGAAAGAAGCAAACTCGTAGGGCGGCAAAAAATAAACATTTCCAGGCGAAAAAAGCAGCAGATAAAGACGAGAACAAGGCAGAGGCTAAAGATAGTAAAGAGGATGTCAATTCAGAGGTTTCTGTGGGCGAAATTGCTACCGTTTCTTCACAAAATAGCGAAACAGCAGCGGCAGCTGGCCACGTGGAAAATGAGACGGGACCCGATTTGAAACGCAAACGGGAAGCGGGTTCTGATGTTGACTCGAACGATGAAGACAGCAAGAAGATAAAAGGCAAAGAAGAAAAGCGAGTTTGTAATGAAATCTCCATAAGGATTGAAAGATGGTAAAACCTATTTTGTTAAGTTGAAATAAGGTTATAACTGGGTCATTCCTGAAAATATCCATACCTCGCCCACGGAGGAAATTGGAAGTTAATCCCCCTACCCCGTTCGGATATCCTAATGCCCTTACTATTATCAAAAACAAGCAAGTTTTTCTCCTTCCCTTTCGGGACAGCAGAAATTTCTTCTATTTGGGGAGTGTGGATCTTTTCTGGAACAACCCAATATTGATGAAGGGCCCAATAAATCTTGGTGGGGCGGGGGGTGGGCACCTTAACAGAAAATTGATGAATTTTCGGAAATTTTTACCTAAAAGAGGGATAAAAACGGTCTTTTCGAGTGCAAATGGGTGGGTGGGGGGGTTGTTGGAAATTTGAAAGTTTTTTGTCGGAAATTTAGGAGGCTTTGTCTCCCACCGGAAAAAGTGAATTTCCGCCACTGGGCCTAACATGCGTTTTGTTTTTTCAGTAATTCCTGACAGGTGTATAAAAGGAATGCTGATCAGCTTTGCGAAGAGCTGAAGGAAGCGTTTCCCGACATCCAGGTTGAAGTAAATCCACAGAAACCAAGGTCTAAAAGTTTTGAAGTGATGCTATCTAAGGACGATGGCACAGGTATAATTCACTAACATAACTAAACAGCTCTATGCCTTGTAGGGGTATCTTATGAGTAGGGTACAAGGGATGTTTTGCCCCCCCCCCCTCTCCTTGCAGACTACAGCAATCCCAGGATTCGTGGTTGTAGCCCAGTGGTACAACCCCTGTAAAATTGTCACCTCTCTTTGCCAGATAAGCCTGCATTTGCCTTTTTAATTGGCGGCTGTACTGAGCAGTACCATGCAGCTGCTGGTGGTTAATTAGCATTTGTTAATATCTAAGATTGTGGGTTGGATTCTCACAGTGGACTTGCTCATGACACTTTTGTGGAAAGAGACGGTCAACACTATACCGACTGTTGTGGATTTTCTCCGGGTACTCAAGGGGAAACCCTTTTGGGGTTGGGATTAGCCCCTATCTGCCCCTGTCCAGCATAGTTAGGTAGCTGTGCTCCGAGATCAGACATGAGTCATAAGGGAGCTAGCTGCCAGAGGCGCCTTTGGAAGATATTCAACTCGATCAGGTTGAGCTGCGTCGCATTTCAGCTTAGGTTTCATCTGCAAGTAAGGATTTCGTTACACAAAAAATTTATATTCTCATGAACATGTTCGCAGAGTTTGCATTTTGCTTTATAATTAAACTTAAAAATTCAAGGTACTTTTATATAATTATAAAGAGTCAATTTCTCTATTTAACCGAACATTTTTAATTAGTCAGTTCTGTGCACGGCTTGACTGCCAAGCTTTCGCAAGGTCTCAACTTGCTGGACGCGGATATACTCTAACAGGCTAACAACAGCAACAATGAAATTCTCAATCGTACCACGAAGAAGGCGGTGTAGCTCAGAAAACAACGCCTGTAGGACCTGATATTAAAAATAAGACTTTTGCCGGCGAAGCCAGTTGGCAGAACGGCTTGGCTGTCAACAACAAGCTTTCGAATACATGACTAGTTTGGCTGTTCTTTCAGCGTCGTGTGTCCAAAATTCGTCCAAGATTTTGATAAAGCCCTTTCAAAATACTGTTTGTTTGTTTCTGCCATAAAGCATAAAAGAAAAGAAATTCGAAGAAGTCGATAATGGAATGTGTTACGTGCGTTTGACCTTTATATTATTAATTGTCGCCTTTGACCGAGCTATTTTTAAAACTGTTGTTTATGTAAACTTGCAACCAATCAAAATCCTTCATGATGCTGATCAACCAATCAGATTTCCCGTCCACCAGGTGGACGGGAATCCCGCAGTTTAGATAGGTTTTGTGTCAGGCCCTATTCTGTAATAGGGCCTGAACTTCAGGTTAAGGGGTGGGGTGATTAGCACCCCACCCACTTACTTCCACTTAATAGCAATGATAAAGGTCCGGTAATTATATTGTACCAAGTGAAAACTTGCACTCTCTAGGAGGAAATTTCTGAAATAGTTTTTTGAATCTGCAGAGATTATGCTTTGGAGTGGAATTAAGAAAGGTCCTCCTCGAAAATTAAAGTTTCCAGAAAGCCAAAGCATTGTTTCTGGCATCCAAGAACAACTCGATATGTAAGGTAGCGTAATATTTTAGACTTTTCCAAAATATTTGTTGTGATTTTTCATTGAATGTTGAATTTTGGTTGGTACAGCAAAATATTCATGATAGAATGTGACAAAGTTGATTTGTTTCAAAGTCGCAAACTTGATGCCGATTTATTTTGTTAGTATTGTATCTCATTGACAACTACAACTGATCGAAGTATGTAAATAATTCATCTAAATATTTTTCTTTTATATTCTATCATGTTTTTTTCTCTAAGTCTTTATATTGAACTAATGACCTCTAATGTAGCGCTATCAACGAAAGGAATCGTTTAATTACCCGAACGAAATTACTAGCATATAATTAGAAATATTGTGTTTTTTCCAATCAGTTGTCATTAGTATTTGTAAAGGTTGTGCAAATATAAGCATTTCCCCAAGCTTTTTTTCCTCAAGACTGGTTTACAGGGCATAGGAACCAGGGGGGGGGGCAGGGGGCCAAGCTTTGTGAAAAATTATTTGATTTATGATTGCATTTATTTTTTCTTCCCCCCCCCTGCCCTGTTGCCAACATTTCTGGGAAAAAAATTTTCGGTGCCCCTTTCATTCCTTTTGGAATGTGCCCCTTGAAACCGGTGCCCCCGCCCGCCCCCCCCCAACTTTATGCTTCCTATGCCCCTGCTGGTTTACACTCTACTCATTCAAAGTTTCTGTGATCACAGTAGGAATGTTGCATCTAGGTAAATTCTAAGTTTTGAAGGATTTGTAAGAAATGTTTGAGGGAACTCACTCATACACAAAATCAGTTCCCTTAAACATTTCGTACAAATCCTTCAAAACTTAGAATTTACCCATGCAAAATTCCTAACTGATCACAGAAACTTTGATTGTTATGGTTACGACATAATAAAGGGAGCTGGACCCCTGGGGCTGGTCTAATTTGAATATTCTTTTAAAAATGTCTTTGTCTATGTTTCTCTCCATTTACGTACGTTTTTTATTGAGGCCCATTTCCTGGTGGGTGGAGATTCCATTTCATTTAATGATTCAGTAAAATTTGTTTTTATTACATGGGGTCATGTAGACTAAATAAATCATGACTGGCTAATTTCATCAAATTAAAGTGAATTGAAAATATTAAAATTTCATGATATGCCATCGAATTCATAAGGAATGCTAAAGAATGCCCAAAAATCAAAATGCTTTGGTCCTTGGTTAAAGTATATGACAGTGTGATAATCTTGGAACTGTCTGTGGCCAGTCTAGGTAGCGCCTTGGTAGGAATGCGACCATTCTCGTCCCCAGAGCCATTTTCAATTTCGTCTTTTCGACCTCGTTTTCGACGTTTTCGAGCGAAGCCCCTTCGCAAACCTTTTTTAATTTGAAAGACGAGATTAACATTTCAAGATTAATATTTCATATTAATTTTGAAAGTGCAATTCGAATTCGCAATTCGAATTCGCATCTTCATTCTTCTGGAGTAAACAGGATTATAGTTTAATCCAATTAGAAAGTGCATGACCAACGAAGAATTTGTCCATGTGAACTCTACGCACGAAATACGCCAACATTGGCAATTGATCACGCCAATATTTTTGGGGACCTATGTCAAAAATTAAATAGACAATCTTATGAGTTGTGGCCTTTAATGTAAAATACATATTTTTGAAGATATGTTGTGAATTGTTGACACTTATGAGGCTCGCCAAAGGGTGCACATGTGACCCAGGTCACTCATTTTGTAGCTCAGTGCTTTGTCGCTTGTTTTATTGTAATAAATGTCACTTTTGACCCATAACACAAAGCAATTTGTCGCTTTTTCCTAGTCAGAAGCTGTCGTTTGTATCGCTTATCGTATATATTTCAGATAGTCTGTCGCCTCTTTTTAAGGAATGTCGCCTGTCGGTCATAACCCCTTGGCCTTGGTGGGCTTATAGGGACAAACAAATTAATCTCTTAATTCTATTTATATGCAATCAAATACAAGAGTACTGCATATCATGAAACGAATTTCTCAATCTGATATCTGCTGGTTGACCGCGTATGGAGACGAGATTATGCCTATTTTGACGCAACAAACCGATCCCAGTACGTCATTGGCAAACCTCCCCCATAAATTCCCGGTCAAGTCAAGAGAATGAGAATTTACAATATTAGAAGCTCTAGATTAATAAAGCCTAAGGTTTAAAAAGTGTTCCAGTGTTCCAACTATGTTTTAACTAAATAAAGTATATGATATAGTGTTTGGGAAAACTGCTAACTCTCTAATTGCATGCTGGTTGTTAAAACAATCCCTTTCCGTTGCCGTTGGAAATATTTTGACGCAATTGGCCACTTATGCAGGCATGCATGTCAATATTAAGCAGACAAAGTGTACATAGTTGAAGAATGCATATATTAACTACATCTACAGACTAGATGTCAATACATGCAGTCAACCTAAATTGGACGAACGACAACAGAAATTTTATGAAACGGAAGGAAGTTACTAAGAGCCATTGCCCAGTGGCGGAACTGACTGTATATTTGACACCACTTGCTCTCAACGCTGCCTGGAATCCGCTTTGAACTTGTTGTGGATAATCTTATATCGAAATTACGTTTATCACTTTAAGGAAGTTAAAAATTGTAGTTATATTAAGTCGATAGCTCGATAGAACTTTATGTCTTTAAGCGAAAAGATCGTGTTGTCAAGTCGCTAAAACTAAAAGTGGTTGGTGTTTAATGTGTATTTTGAAAAGCAAGTTGAGCAAATCAAACTGCAAGTATCTTCACATTTTGTTGTAGGAAGTCCTCGGGTTATCAACTGTCGTATAAAGATTAAAAGGGTGGATTTTTGTTACAATTCTTAGAATTCTATACCAGTTGACCTTCGCCCTGGATATGATTGTTGATTGTAAGATCATACGGCTAATTCACCGAGCTTGTTAAACTGAAAAGCAGACCTAACAAGTGCCGTCAAAGACTACAGTGTTGATACTCACCGAAGTGTGTGATTATATGCAAATTGGAGGAACATAAACAACTTTTTAATTCCGACAGTGTAATGGCAGAAATTTTAAGTGTACTGTTAATGTTGTTGGGATATATTTTTATTGCTGCTGTCTTCGTGTGGTTGTGCTATATTGTGTATAATATCGTGTACCACCCAAGGCGAGCTTATAATATTCTTCCAAAGCGAATTCGAAGCTGGTCTTTGCTGCGTCGGCTTGGGGTCACGAATAGATCGAACACTTTCTTCGAGATCGAAGATCGCTTTAACAGTTTAGCCGAAATCAGTAATGCCATGCGAGTTGGTGGCCTTGTAAAAGCGAACCTTATAATTGGCATAGATTTTACTGCCAGTAACGAATGGCAGGGGAGAAAAAGTTTTAGTGGACGATCGCTGCATCATATTAACATTGACCCCAAATCGAACCGTATTAGTAAATGGAATCCTTACCAACGAGTTATAAGAGCAATCGGAGAAACTTTACAAGAATTTAATGAAGACAATTTGATTCCAGTGTACGGGTTTGGGGACGACAGAACGAAAGGGCATAGCGTTTTTCCGCTAATAGACGAGTCGCCTTGTAAAGGGGTCGACGAAGTGTTAACTCGTTACACTAGAACAGTGGGATCTGTTTCTCTCAGTGGACCGACTAGTTTCGCTCCTATTATTCGAAAAGCAATTGAGATAGTTCAGCAAACGGGCAAATACCATGTGCTCCTGATCATTGCGGACGGCAGAGTGGAGAATGAACATGATTTGGAAACACGTTCAGCGATTGTAGATGCTTCAAATTATCCCTTGTCTATCGTTTTAGTTGGCGTCGGAGATGGTCCTTGGGAAGTGATGCACGAATATGACGACAAACTGCCCCAGAGGCGCTTCGATAATTTTCAATTTGTTGAGTTCGTTGAGAAAAAGAATTCGAGATTTTCGCGCGATATCGAGGCGGAGTTCGCAGTCCAGGCACTTATGGAGATCCCGGATCAATACCGGGCTATCAGGTCGCTAGGCCTCCTGGGACAGAATGGCAGCGTGGATGTAAATAAGAATAAAGGGACTAGTAACGAGCGACGGAAGAAGTTTAGGGAGAATCGTCCAGTGACGTACCCCGAGCCCACGATGGAGAGTCGTCATCTGAATCACGTGGTGCGAAGAAGGAGTGTGGAGGGCGTACTTGAAACGGATTTGTGAAATGGAATTCGTGGAAGTGTTTACTCAATTTCGCCATATCACAGAGTATAGAATAGATGGTTTGGAAACTCGTTAGAATGACAATATAACTCATCTATGTTGGTCAACGTTTATTCATGGAAAGAGATTGTTTCGCTGGCCTCAAAGTGACAAAACGTAACAAAGCAACGGTTTTACTAACACTAACTCTACTCCAAACATCAATTCTAACCCTAACCTAACCCTACTCCAAATTTGTTTCTAAACCATCTTGAAGAAAAAAGTTTTGACGAAATGTCATTCTGAGGTCAGCAAAATAGTCGATGTCTGTCACGTGTGTATTGTATTTTTGCCAAATCCACCAATAGCAATTTCCAATTTACCCTATTGTTCGAGTCACGGATAGGTAATTTTCCTAAAACATTGCTATTGGTTATTTGGGCAAAAATACAATACGCACGTGACGGGGAAGGACCAGATTTATGAATAAACGTTGACCTAACATAGATAATGAGTTATATTGTTATTCTAATGAGTTTCCAACCATCTATTAACTATGATCGTACAGATATATCACTTCGTAAGAAAAGGTAGTTTTTACTGCGCAATCTGGCGGCCATCTTCTTAGCAAGTGCCCTAAAGAGAGGCGTCCACCCCGGAACATTAACATTCAATATGTTTTCAGGGGGTGACAGCCTCTCTTTAGGGCACTTGCTAAGAACATGGCGTACTGGAAAAATCCCGGCTTGCGCTGAAATTAATAAGTGAGAGCTCTGTACGGTATTTACTCTGTGACCACATACTCAAAATAACAAGTAAATATCGAGGAACAACTTTATTTATTTATATATACCGCATTTTACAAAGATTAAGTTAATTGCGTCTGATTGACAAAGGAAAACGAGAAACAAAGTTCTACAAAAACAACGAACAATATGCTCATGGATAAATATGTGAACTGCATGCTAAAAGTTATTTCGAGATGATTAAGTTTCGATCGATATTAATAATTCTATTAAAAATGACGTGTATTTCAGACTACATTCACCTCGATGAAAACACTGTTTGCATAAGCCCCGTTTACACAACGCTCAATTTTTGGTAATTGGTATACCCGTACCACTTTTTTGGTTCAAGAACCAAAAAAGGGGTACGGGTACCGATTTTATCCGTGCCGTACCAAAAATTGAGCGTAGTGTAAACGGGGTTATTATAGTCTGTCAAGATATGATGATCTGGAAACCCGGCAAACTTCAAAGCTACAAAATAGAAGACCTTGGTTTGATGTTGTTCCTCACCGTGCACAAATCCTTTGTCTCAACTTCATTAAGAGGAGTTTTTTTGTATGTTACGTAACACGCGCTCAAAACTAATGCGTATAATATACCACTTGAGGTTATGACTAAATTGAAAATTTTTATTTTTCGATACGTTTCTCAATCGGCAAACAAACTTATAAAGTATGTTTAGTGCTTTATCTGTAAAATAATGCTAAAATGAAGAGATTTTAGATGATACGCCAAAGAGAAGATTATGTCTGAAGTTCAGTAAGTTTTGCTTATATGGCTGTAAATATGGCGTCAATTTTAAAACATCCTTGATAATTGTATTTAAATTGACAATTTTTAACTATTATTTTATGTTTCTCAACCGGCAAATGCATTTAAAAAGGTAGCTAACTCTATAAACTAGAGAATAAAGCTAAAACAAAGTGATTCTGAGAGGAACGCCAAAAAGATTTTAGGTTTTGAACACTTTTCATTGCAAATACGTGACATTGAAAAAAATTGCCTCTTAAAAATATTATTCATCGTGGCTGCACTTTCATCTCAGCTATCCCTATATTCTATAGGACGGTTACTTCATTATACGAAAATACAATGAGCTCAATCACAGTGCACAAATTAACATAGACTCAAACAAAAACATAATACAATGACTTCTGTTCAGTTTCCAGATCATCATATCTTATAGACTATATGTATGGGGTGTTTGTAGGTAATGTTTGTCTTGAATTCAGGTCTAGTTCAACTGAACGACATTTTCGACATTGTCGAGAATATCATTCTTGACAGTTCGTCTAAACCAGCCGACTTATTCTCGAGTTCTCGTTATCGATTTTTCGTCTTCATATTAAAAAGAAATGCACCCCACAATTGAAATATTTAATTATACTCAAATTTGTCTATATACCGAAAAATTTCGCGTTTGTTTGGACATTCAAGGCGCGACTTACTGCGTTTTGAAAATGTAGTTTTTTCCTATAAATTATACATTTGCGGTAAATTCCAGTCAAACAGAAAAGATTTGAAGAACCACAACTCCACAACCTAAATCTGTAATTTCATGTACTCTGTCAGTTAAACTAGCCTACTAAATCGCCTCAAAACTACAGTGCTACGATAATTTATCCAACTATACAAACAGTACTTTGGAAAAACTTCTTATATTAAACAATAAACTTTGTAGACTCAATAGCTGTCTAGAATTGTTGTCGAATTTATGACCATTATGGTTGTAACAATATATGTGTAGCTGCATTTTCCGTAGTTGAGACTTGAAAGAGTGCTCTCCGAGTTGTTTTGTATCCTCTCACAATAATAAAATGATAATTCAACCCTAGAATGAAAATAAAACAGTAAAAACACTGTATATATAGACGTTTTTTGGAGGATAGTAATACAATGGGTCGTTAGATGGTAGTCGATAAACAATAGACCTTTCCCATTTTAAGTGAAGTTTGATCATCTGATTATCAATTTCCCATTTGTAATACCAAATGACTGAAAAACGGCAAACTTCGCAAGGCTATATTATCCGCATTTTACAACATTTTGCAACGAAACTTCGGAATATTACTAATTTTGTGATGCTCTTTCAAGCTGTGATGAAATTTTTGTCTACACTTGTCTAGATCAAAATTCACTTAAAAGGGGAAAGGTCTATTAGCTGCAGTGGTAATTTGTGTCTGATGACCTCTGATATATCTCGAACGTGGTGGTCCAGTGTAGGTAAGTATTCTGTATGCTGCAGTGGTTTGTATCCTAAATTCTGTGAAGATATCTTCATCGTGGTGGTACGGAATACTACCTAGTATTCTACAATAAGCTGTCGTGGTTTGTGTCTGAACTACCTGAAAAAGATATCTCAAACGTGGTGGTCCAGTGTAGGTAGTATTCTACAATAAGCTGCTGTGGTTTGTGTCTGAACTACCTGAAGAAGATATCTCAAACGTGGTGGTCCAGTGTAGGTATTCTACAATAAGCTACCGTGTTTGTGTCTCAACTACCTGAAAACTGTTAACCTCGACGTTTCGCAAATGACACTAGAAAAATATACAATATCTCATAAATTTTACACAATATGTATGTACCTGTTAATTGTCGCTACTTTCGCTTTCTTTTCGCTTTTTCTCGATTTCCGCTTGCTTCTGTACGTATTGTTTCTCGTCACGTGGTTTTGCTCCTCCAAATATCTTTGCTTGTTGCATAGAGTCTGCTATCTCATTGACAGGATCTTTGACTGTACGAGGCAACAGCTTTAGTCTAGGGCGCTCACTAGCACTTTCTGCAAAAAAATGTGAGATTAAATGCACAGTTCAGCCTTTTGAATGATGGTTTTTCAGGCAAACTAAAATTCAAGATCAGCAAACTTTGAATGATGGTTTTTCAGGCAAACTAAAATTCAAGATCAGCAAACTTAATGTTTTTAAGTTTTAACACATTGAGTTTATTGATCTTGAATTATGTATAATTGATTTTCCTAGTTAGTCTTTCAATTAAAAGGGCTGAAATGCACCTTAAAAACCATCATTCAAAAGGCTGAACTGTGCCTTTAACAGGATTCATGATGGTGATCACCATTTTAGGCACCCTCACTCTACCAACAGAGTTACCACAGGTTTTTTCATGGTACTCTAGTTTCTTCTTGTATTAAGGTTGGATAGAGCAGGCATCACAGATGTGTTCAGCAGGGGCGGGGGTGGTTAGCATGGGTGAGAGATGAGGTTAGCAGGGGTTACATATGTGTTAACAGATTTGGCCAGCAGGGGTGACAGATGTGGTCAGCTGGGGCGGGGGTGGTTAGCATGGGTGACAGACATGGTTAAGCAGGCTGTTACTGCTGAGTTAGCTTGCTACTGAGTGTAGGGGATATCAGAGTTTGTACAAAACTTGAAAATCCTTGAAAGTCCTTGAGTTTATAAACTAAGAAGTGCTTGAAAGTCCTTAAATTTTTTGAAATTGTTTTGCATTAAGAACTGGCCATTTTGTAAGTTGATTTTGTTCATGTCTTACAAAGGCCAAAGCTGTTTGTTGCCATTTGAACAGTTCAACATCACTTTTTACTGATTTCTAACGCCTTTTCAGCTTTAGTCCTTGAATTTCCTGATACATGGCCTTGAAAATCCTTGAATTTAACTCTTCCTGACCTGCAGGAACCCTGGTATATCTTAGATGTGGTTTATGTGCTTAATAAACTCATTTAAATAGAATTATGGTTGTTTCTCTCCTGTGTTCCAGTTTTCTGTGTTCCAGTGTCCTGTGTTCCAAAAACAACCATTCCACCTTAGCCCTCTGTGATCAGGCAGCCATAGGCATCCTAATGTTAGCTTTGACATAATCACTTTTGAGCTACATCCTTTGTAAGTCACTCGGCTTCATGGAAATATGATCAGCTCACTCTATCTTTCCCTGTTATGTACAGAGAACATAGCACTCGATGTTTACCTTCGCTTGGCTCAGGGAAGTTCTCGTATGGCATTGGTGGTCCTCTATTATCTCGACGACCATGTTGCCGTCCCCCCCTGCCGCCATCATACCGACCACGATCATAGCCACCACGATCATAGCCACCACGCCCTGTAAGAATAAAATATAATATGAAAATTTTGAACAAGCTTTCGTTGGTGGGGAATGCATAGCCTATATCGAAGGGAAGATGGCTGTCAAACTCATTAGAATAACAATATAACTCGCTATCTATGTTGGTCAACGTTTATTCATAAATCTGGTCCTTCACCGTCACATGTGTAGTGTATTTTTGCCCAGCTAACCAATGGCAATGTTTTAGGAAAGTCACCTATCTGTGACTCGAACAATAGGTAAACTGGAAATTGCTATTGGTGAATTTGGTAAAAGGTAATCAGGGTTTGTTAAAAAGGTCAGGACATTGTTTAATTATTGTACCCTGGTCGCGTCCCCCGTCACGAAAGTTATTTTGCCCTCTGTCACCCTGTGGTCTTCCTCTATCGCCTCCACGACCACCACGGAATCCTGAAAGAATTCAAACCAAAATATTAGGCAATGTTTACTAGAAGGGAAAAAACATCGCTAAGAAAAATTGTCTTTGGTCCGGCAATGTATTGCTAAGTGACCCCTTAGCCTTGTTCACCTGAGTCAAATTCCTGTTGGAGTTGTCTCATTATTATTTCATGTGAGAAGATTGTTTAGCAGATGAGAGATATGGGCATTGCCATTGATAAACCATGATAAACCTTGCATTAGCAAGGCTTGAAGTGACAGCCAATCACCTATTGGCTAGATATTGTTTATGGGTGGAAAAGCACAGTTTCAAACCAGAAAAATCATGACTGCCAATCACCATGATCTGGAACTTTGGGAACGTTATTTCAAGCCCTGCTAATGAAAGCATCTGATTACAATACCTCCTCTTCCGCGACCTCTGTCTCCACGATCTTTATTCCTTCCTTCAGCGACATCCACTCTAAGTGGCCTATCACCATATTCCTACAGAAATACAGGTTACATAAACTTTATTTAACCTTGATTGGCCTCATTTACACAACTTATATAATACATAAAATAGAACTTGGTACTTGCAAAATGAATTAAAACAACAGCAGAAAGATTTGGTTTTTATTTGTGTAAGATATATCTTTATGTATTTAACTTTACAGCCTAAACAATCTTACAGCACTGTTATATTCCAAAGCTTCGATTAATGATTTTTGGTCTTCGAATTCCACATAACAAAAACCTATATTTGGAGAAAAAATATAAATTTATCTCATCTCTTCACTAGACATATTTTATTCCATATCAGTATATACCTTTAAATTTATCAGTTTCGCGATCCCTGACAATACGCACACTTTTTATCTAGAGTTGAAGTAAAAGAGTTTTTGTCAATAACATATCTTTTCAAGCTGGCTGCCCAATAACTGCTGAAAGTCTTCAAATGAATAACTGTGTGACAAAATCTGTATCCATAATTTTTCAACCATCAAAGCACTGGTATATAATAAATTATATAATTAATGAAATTTGAGACAAAAAAGGTCAGATTAAAAGGTGGTCCATCACCACCTATTTGTTTTGTAAAGTTAATAAAAATATATAAAGTATTCACATTCAGATTTTCAAAGATTCTATCGATATCTCCTTGTACAGTGCCATCAGGTAGCCCACCAACAAATGCAGTGAATGGGGGTTCATCAGGTATCTTTGGGGATCTTCCACCACCGTATCCACCACCACCGTATCCACCCCCACCCCCTCCATACCCCCTATCATCACGATATCCGCGGCGATTTTGACGATTCCAATCACCACCGCCGCCACCACCACCACCATAGAAATTATCACTAAAATAAAATTACAATTATTGCCTTGTTTGGCCTATATAGCAGAATAATATCTGAAAATAATTGAAGATTTGAGCCAA